CCTTATTCTACTTGAAAGTTTGAAGGATATTTTTGCTGGATATAGAATTCTGATTGTTTTGTTTTGTTCGTTTGCTTGTTTCACCACTTTTTCTTCCTTAAACGATCCAACTCCACCTCACCCTTGTCTCTCTGTTTGCTCTTTTCTCTCCCTGGACAACTCTTTAACCAGTTCCTCATATCACAGGCTACTTCTCATCTCTCTGGTTTCATTTCATGCTTCTCAGAGACCTCTGTTGACCATGCTATCCAAAACCAGCCTTCTTCTCTGTGACTGTCTCATTTTCCTCTTTACATCTTGTGCAATACTTCCACAATGTTTTTATTTGTTTCCTTGCTTCTTGTCTTTCTACCTGAGTAGCTCCATATGAAAATTTATTTTATATTCTCCTACATTCTTGGTATTTGGCAAAATACCTGCCATCATGATAGAGGCACAGTGATGTTTCCCTAATGTAGAATGGATGCAACTGAAGTTACAGGGGCATCTGAAGTCTAGCTTTGCTAGAATTGAAAAGACACATTGAGTAGTCACACTGCTAAACTCTCCAGGACCATCTGTTTTACACACTGTGCTAGGGAATATAAACGCAAAAGTGAAGCATCTTCAAGAAACTTTTCCAGATTCTCTGAGTTGGAAACAATCTCCTCCTCTCATTCCCCTAGCATTCCACTTCATCCCGACTGTGGTACTTTTTGTGATTGACCTTGCACCATTGCTGTTTCTATACATATCTTCCCTCTCCAACTGGATTGTCAGGTCCTTGCAGGCAGGGGCGATATTTCTGAACACACATCGGCAGTCCTGCAGAAATAACCTTTACGTCTGCAGACGTTTCGGGATACTCATAAAATGGTATTGCATTGAAAATGAATGGAATGAGAAACAGCGTTTTTGTTTAATAGGATTCTCTATTTCTCTGTGGAAAAAGGAGCTGTATAATTCCAAAGTCATTAGAATTTCAACTCAGCATTAATAAAGCCCTAAGTTCCCACCAAGGACACTGTGTCACGTGTGGAAGAGGACTCCTCTGCCCCTTCTCTGCCTTTGTTCTTGTTTATATGCACTGCCTTCATAGTTTATGCTTCCTGCAGTTTGCATCACAGTAACGTGCCAAATATTTCCTGCCCACGCTTCTGTTTGGCTGCAGAGCAGAACTGTAATGGAAAAGCAACAGATCAGAATAGTTTTTAGATTTGTTGGTGCTCTTAAAAAGGCCCACTTTTAAACATAAATATTTATGCCTGTTGCCATGTTCTACCTCCATTCGTTATGAGGAGAGCTTTGATGAGCCTGTAGTGTGAAGAGGACCCATATAAATACTGGTTACCATTTATTACGACAAGACTGATGGAGAACTCTGGAGGTAGGAAGGCTGAAGCTAGCTTTCATATTCTGTGCATAACAGAGGAGAATGGCTCAGCCCCAGATAAGCATTCAAACAGCTCACATGTAGGTTGTGATAACTTATTGCCTCTGGGTTTGGGGACTATGGTAATCTTCCTGAGTCGCACACACCTGCGAGTGAAATGGAAGAGGCTTGGAAGCACAGCTCTTCTTTGTAACTTTTTTCTTTAAGACCCAGTATTGTTCTGACAAGTTCAAGTTAACGAAAGGACCATGGCACTAGAGGGCGGTACTCTGTAAGGTAGGTGTGTATGTGTGTTGGAGGTGAGGGTTACAAGTCTGAAACTTCTTGTAGGTTCCCAGGCCCCATCCAAGGCTTATAGAATCAGAACCAGCAGATCTTGTGCCTGGGAATCTGCATTTGAGCACCACCCCCAGAGGATGCACTGGGACGTTTGGGAGCCACTGCTTGAGGGAATAGAGAGACAAGAGTTGTCTCTTTTGTCTCTGAACTGTCGATCTGTGTCTGGAAAATTTTGAGTCCCTTAGATTGCTCACCAAGAAGGTCCTGTGGTCTCATTGTTATTTTCCCATAACTGAATTGACTCTTAATTGAGGAATTAGTCACTCAGTGTCCGATTATCATGTACCTGAAACTAAAACAAAATAAGTTCGTCCTTACACTGGCCAAACCAGCTTATCCTGTCATGTCTAACACATTTCTCAGAAACATGCATGGGGCTATAGGAATTTGCAAGTCCACAGGAAGTTCTGCCCTTTGTCACATTATCTACATAAGAGCAATTCTGATGACACTGCAATATTCAGTAAGCAAGACTCATTGGATGTAATTAGAAGTAACTTTATTCTTGCCATCCACTGCCCTTTCATGCCATCTCTGTGGGGTTAATTTTTTCCTACCCCTTGGTAAAAACTAGGGTAAGTGTCATGAATTTTTGCTCACTTTTAAGTAGTAAAGAGTTCTTTACTTTCATTCTTAGATACACAAAATTCTATGGCATTAACTGATATATCCAAGTTTTTTTCAGTAGTTTTTATCTACTGAAAAAAACTGCACAGGTTCAAGGTTGAGAATTATGCTTTATTCAGTGAACTTACTGAGGACTTTAGCCTGGGATACAGCCTTTCAGATAGCTCTAAGGGAGTGTTCCAAAAAGGTAAGGGAGAAGCCAGGATATATAGGAGTTTTTGCTGAAAAAAAAAAAAAAAAAACATGTGTTCAAACATCACAAGATTACTGCTAATCATAAGAACAAAACATTTCAAGTTAATGATTTTAGTGCTTTTCTATGTATGGCAAGAGGCTTGGGTTCACTGAAGTGATCCTTTGATATGCATCTTAACTATCTCGGTCCAATATCTTGTTTTTCTCCATCCTGAATCCCCTCAGGGAGCCCCATTGTCAGGAGGCCTGCAGTGGCTGATGACTCCTTTGTCTACTGAAATGGCAGGTGACATTCTTAGTTCCTACAGGGTAGAAAAATAATTTTTAAACAGCTCCAAACTTTATTGGAAGTGAGTTTTCCCCTTCCCTTAGCTCAGTTCTGCTTGGGCAGCCTATTCGCCATGGGAAAAGGGTGCATAGGCTCTTCCCTTCCTCTCTGCCTGTGGCTTTTGCTTTCCTTCCTTTATCTCTCCCTCAGGTTCCTCCAGGGCTGAGGGATGCGGGGTATCAGGTTAGAAAGGCGAGGGACATAAAGGTTTATTTGATAGATACCTATACAAAACTCGCATAGACACTGCCTGACTCTTTCTCATCGGGTGATTTCATGGCTTTTTCAAGAACTCAGCATTACTTGATACTTAGCCCCTAGGCTATGTACCTCCTCTGGGGTCACTTTAAGGCCCTAGATATCCAGTTGAACCCTGCTAGCATCCTTCCGCTGATGCTAAGTAGACACAGGCTCCAGACTTTGGAGCTTGTCAGCGTTGCCGAGTCCAGGACACTGGGCTCCAAGCACAATAAGGCATTCCTCAAGCTCTCTGAGTATCCCACTGAATCCTTTTCCCATGGGTTCGAGGTGAGAGAGAAGGAATTCCCCCATCTCACATGGAAGAGGGTTAAGTCAAACTCATAGTATGATAGAGCTCCCTTTAAGAAATTCTCTATTTCTTTCTTTCTTCTCCAATCTCTTTTTCAGACTGGTGGTGAGGGATCAGCTTTAGGTGGAAAATGGCTCTTGACCACTTCTGTTGGATGCCCTGAACTGGGGCTCTCATACTCCACTTTAGTCATGGGGGTGTAGCTAGCATCTGTGTCTTAGAGCTTCAACCAGGGGCTTCATCCAAGATATTGGGAAATCAAGATTCTCTTGTAATATCTCTTTGCAATCATAATACCAGCTAGTTTATGTTTATCACTTGTTGTATACCAGATGCTCCTTCATACATGCCTTATCTTACTCAGTCCTTCCCACAATGCTATGAGGAAACAGAAGTTCAGAGAAGTCAAATAATTTGTGTCAAGTCACCCAGATAGCAGGTTGCAAAATTCTTTCCAACACTGTGCATTATTTTCTTTTTAGGAAAATAAGAATGATTTTTGTGTCTTAGAAAGAAAATACTATGCATTCATCAGGGGGAAAAAAATGCTATAGCTGTTTACTATCCTGGATTTGACAATGGGAAGATATGGAATTTTGGAGCAAAATTAAGAACAACAAGTCTTAGTTGCTAAGCATTTGAATAGACTTATTCACTTAATTCTTATAAAACCTTGTGTTGTGGATGGACTCGTCTTCATGTTGTAGATGAAGAAACTGAGGCCAGGGGGTTATTATGTGGCTTCCCCTACATTACACAACGAGGAATATTTGGAGCCAGGATTTAAAATCCAAAGTCTTAGACCATGACCCTGAATCTACTTTTCCTCTCCACTCTGATGGGACATAGCAGGAATATGAGCTGTGCAAGTTGTTTGGTTGATGCTTCTTTCAAACACATCCGACTCTAGATGAGGAGCGACAGAGGAGTCAAGGTTTTCACTAAACTCCTTGGAAACAAAGAGCATCTTATTCATCTTGGAATCCCTAGTGCCAGGTCCAAAGTTGATACTCTGTTAATGAATGAATGAAATGGATAAAGAATAAATAACTTTCTTTTCAACTCTCTGGTGGAAAGTAAGTGTACATGTGGGTTAAATTAAGACAGCATCCTACATTTTATAAGATGGTCTTGGGAGAAGAGCTCAGATGAATGATATCTAAACTTGAATTTCTGATTCGGTCCTTGGAATAGAGGTGAAAGAGGAATTGAGACCGAGTTTTTCTCTGGAGTCTCAAGTTTCACTGCAGAAATGACAGCTTACATGTCTCTCTGCCTTAAGGAAAAAATAGATTGCTTCTTTGTTTGGGTTATGAAGTATCTGGAAACATTTTACCCCAAAGAAGTATGTTCTAATAATTTCAGTCATCCAACAATGGGGCAGGTGGCTTCCAAAGTATTCACAGTCATACTTCTGCTGAGGAACCTGTCGGCTGGGCTCTTGGAAGGGAGGATTGAAATGTTATTGGTGGGGTAGACCAGATGGCTTCTAAGAGACTCTGTCCCTGACCTTTTGGAGATCTAGGATTCGTTCAGGTGGTTGATGACAAGGATGTAGCTAACCAGGTCTGTGTGTCTGTCGTCCACAGGTCTGAGGCGCAATTACAGATGTACCATCTGCAGTGTCTCTCTAAACTCAATAGAACAGTATCATGCCCATCTGAAAGGATCTAAACATCAGACCAAGTAGGTACTTTCATGCTTTCACTCTTCAGTCCTTTTGTATGTAACTTTTAGCATGATGAATAAAGGCTAACCACTTTACTTATTTCAAAATAAGTAGATGAAAACTGTATCTCTTATCTCCAAGGTTCCCTTGATATTTATGCTGTTCAAGCCTCCAGAGTCTGCCTAGCACCGCTTGAAGAATGACTTCTTGCCTTTTTTGGACACAGTAATGACAATTTTTTTTTTCATTTTTTCCTTCTTTTCAAGGCTAGTCAGCACATTTGTATGAACTTCAGGAAACTTTTAGATCTATATTAAGTGTTTTAAAATAAGCAATGTAGTCTCTACTTGGAGGATGGGCCAGACCTCCGTGTTGTGAAGTCAAATTCTGTGAATGTCTTCGACCACTTTCTATTTCTAGAAGCATATTGTTGCTTAGTCTGGAAACCTAACAGATCCCCTGGAATTTTAAGTCATTCACATACATAGCTATTTTCAATTCAATGGAAGCTCATTCCATTCCCCCTGCCCCCAATTCTCATGATTTTAAACCAGAAGAGTCTAATCAGGCATCATTTCCCCTGCATTTATATTGCTCATCTTTTTAGAAAACTGATGACATTAGCTTTTAGGTATTTTTAAAGTAGCTGCTAGGACTGCTAATAAGATCTAATAAAATAGGAAAAAACAAAGAATATCTCAAAAATATGTAATTTTCCTGAATATAATTGTTTTCATTTCTCTCATATTCATTAGCAGAATCATTGAACAGATTCGACTGTATCAGGGCCTCATAAGTAATGAATGATTCATTTAACAAAGGTTTATGGGGCGCCCACTGTGTGCCAGACCCCGAGTGTGCCCTGGGGAAGAAAAGATGAATGGATTTAGGCCTTCCTCTTGGGGAGCTCCCTGACAGGCTGGGGAAACAGTCATGTAAACACATAGATTGTTCTCTGTTGCCATAATGTGGGCACCCCGAGCTTCGAGGACCAGGACAGGGACATCAGTGCAGAGGCCGAGCTCATAAGGATGAAGTCGTCAGGGTCTGATTTTGTTTCCCATTATCACCCAGCCCCCAGCGCAACACTTGATACGTATTAAGGGCTTCGTAAACGTTCCTGATGGAGTGAATGTGTGATTTTTAAAAGATGAGTAGCGACAGCAGAAACTAACACAACACAGTAAAGCAATTATACTCCAATAAAGATGTCCAAAAAAAAAAAAAGAAGAAGAAAAGATGAGTAACGATTTTCCAAGCACGGATAGGAAGGTACGTTCCAGGCAGGGAAATTTCTTGGCAAAGATCTGTAAAGACATAGATTCACAGGGGTTTCTGGCTTCAGGGGAGAAGTTTAAGCCCAGAGTTCCTACCGACTCAGTTTTTCCACAATATTGTGCGGTTCGGTGAGTCAAAGCTGCTTTCATCACTTGCTTTACTCTGATCCCCCCCCAAAGGGCTTTTATCAAGGAAGTTCTTCAGAAACAAGACTGTCTCTGATTCTCAGCACCTAGAGCACTTGTATTGATTATTGGGAGCTGCTGCCCCAACCCCATCCCCAACCCCCAAAACGGTCCCTTCAGCATCTCTCTGACCCTCCCGTTGTGAGCCATACTGTATGCATTCTAACGAGCACGCATCTGACGTACGCACAGACACCTTACAAGGAGCTGCAATGGTAAATGATCATCTTTTAGGGGCATGTATTTATTGCTCTTCATAAATAGAAAAAGGTAGACAGCAGTGACTTTAGGTGGCAAGAATCATGTCAATAACTGATGCAGAGAGATAGCATCTCCAGCTTCAGGAACATACCTACGTCTCTATGTTTACCTATAAAACCTCACGTGACAGAATTTGTGCTAGGCATAGTCACACCTAATACCTTGTTTATTCCCCTTAACTACCTTGAGATACATATTACTGACCCATTATTTGATCTGAGAAACTAAGGCTCAGAGAGGCAAAGTAACTTTCACAGCACCACCTTGCCAAGAAAATGGCAGAAACAGGACTGGACCCAGCAGCGTGTGACTCTCACTTTTAATTAATTCGTGTCACTCAACCACCACAGACAGGCTTTGGACACAGGACTGCAGGGACTGCCAGTAGAGAGTCTTATGATGAATTTTGAAAAAGGACATTGCTTCCCTGGTGTAATTTAATAAGTATACGTGACTTCAGAAGGGTACGTCTCCTGCTGTGCTGCCTTCTTTCCAATAAACAAGACAGTTTGCTTTTTTTTGTAAGCACAAGGTTGAAGAAACCTTGAAGAAAATAATTGTCATAGCTCTGTCCCGCAGCCCATTTCATCTGTCCTTATACCAGATTTGAGTATCCTGGGTGTGTATATGAGTCTGTCTTTGTTTACGAGACAGACGGTTCCATAATTTTCTTATAATATCCTTGTTAGGTTTGGTTTCAAGTGTGTGAGGGCCTCGATAACCAGATTCTATTTCTAATCCCTGAATGAGTTTGTGAGTTTGCCTTAAATACGAGGAAGAATTCATTAGTGAAGCCATCTAGGCCTAAAAATGTATGCTATGGGAGTATTTTTCTTAGAAATTTAGTTTCTTTAATACAGCATTATTCATATCTTCTATTCTTATATCAGCTTAAATAACCTGTCTTGCAATTCATTTATCCATTTCGTTTACATTTTAAAATATATTGGTATAAAATTGTTCATTTTATCCCCTAATTTTATTTTTAATGCTTGTGGAATATTTTTCTTTCCAGACACTGTTTATTTGTGTCTCTTCCTTTTTTTTTTTTGATCACTTTTCTTGTTAGAAGTTTATCAATCTTTATTAGTTTTTTTTTTTGGATGAACAAATGTTGGGGATTTGTTGATTTTCTTTATGTCCAGTTATTTTATGACATTTAAAATATTATTTCCTTCTTTCTACTTCCTTTGGATTTAATTTGCATTTTCCCCTAGCTTCTTAATATAAAAGTATAGGTTCTATAATTAAAAAGAATCTGAAAAAGAATATATATGAATATAAATAAATGGTCCTATCTATCAATTAGGCCAAGTTTCTTAATCTTGTTCAAATCAGTATATTCTTACTGATTTTCTTGTCTGCTTTTTATATCCATGAGAAGCAGACATAATTAAAAACTTCCAGCTGTACATATGATGTGCCTATGTGTCTTCTTCATTCTATCTTTTCTTTTTTGTTTTATATATTTAAAGGTATATTATTAGATGCTTACAAATTTAGGATTTTTTAATGTATTCTTATTGTACGGGCCCTTTTTTTTATCACTATTTGCCATTGTGAAATATCCTTCTTTGTTACTAGTAGTATCTTCCTTGAAGTATACCAACATCAACTACAGCAACTCTTCAAGGCTTTCAAAACTTTTTCCTTTAAATTGTATCCAGTTTTTATTTTGTTCTCAGGTGGAAGCTTAGTGTGATGGAAGTCAGCCAAATGGTTCTTAACTGTTTTAATCTGACTAAGTCAACATAAGTAGTAAAGTGTCTGTAATTTTCAAGGTCTTATATTCATATTTTTGCAGTCATTTCTAGAGGAGCGTTGAGATGAGCAGAGATGATTCAGCTGTGTAGTGGAAAGGACACTGAATTTTATTTCTAGTGCAGCTTTGCCACTGAGTGACCCTGGGCACTGACAAACCTTCTTTAAGTTTCACTTCCCTCAAAGATGAGTGTTTGGGCTTCCCTGGTGGCACAGTGGTTGAGAGTCTGCCTGCCGATGCAGGGGACACGGGTTCGTGCCCCGGTCGGGGAAGATCCCACATGCCGCGGAGCGGCTGGGCCCGTGAGCCATGGCCGCTGAGCCTGCGCGTCCGGAGCCTGTGCTCTGCAACGGGAGAGGCCACAACAGTGAGAGGCCCGTGTACCGCAAAAATAAATAAATAAATAAATAAAAAGATGAGTGTTTAATGATGACAAGAACACAACAAATATGCTTCCACTTCCCATGCTTTGCTCATGATCCTGGTATTCTTTTCTACGAATCCTGAATTCAGACCTAAAATTTTTCCTAAAACATGTCCCGGTCAGCCTTGAGTATTTATTGAAGTTAGCAATGACCCTCTCTGCCTCAACCACGTCCACCCAGAACCTCAGAATAGGACCTTATTTGTAAATAGGGTCTTTGCGATGTAAAAGTTAAGAATCTCAAGATGAAATCTTTCTGGATTTTTGAGAATGATTTATGGTGTCTTTATGAGAGAAAGGAAAGGGAGATTTGAACACACGGAGAAGGTGGCCCCGTGAAGACAGATGCAGAGATTGGGGTTCTGTTTCCTCAAGCCAAGGAACACCAGGAGCCAGCAGCATCTGGAGGAGGCAAGAAGGGATCTCCTCCAGAGCTTTTGGAGGGAGTGTGCCCTGCTGACTCCTCGATTCCAGACTTTCATCTTCTAGAACCTTGAGAGAATAAATTTCTGTTGTTTGAAGACACTCAGTTTGGGGTACTTTTTTAAGGGCAGCCCTAGGAAATTAATACAGTGTGAAACCTACATGCCTTGTTCCATAAGTAATCCTTCAGTCATATTTTCTGGGCAACTGCTTACAATGCCAATCCCGATAATGACAATGATGATGGTCATAGTGATGCGGGTGGAGAAGATGGTGATGATGACGATGCCACCACTGGTAACCAACGTGGGACTTGTCTGAGACTGGGACACAGCCACAGACTAAAATGCTTTGGCAGTGTTACATCTAATACACACAGCAGTCCTGTAATTGACCAGAGGCTCCACTTTATAGGTTAGAAAATTGAGTCTCAGAGAAGTTCAGTGACTTGCCCAAGGTCCCCCCAAAAATTGGTCAGCAGAGTCAAGAACAGAAGTCAGGTTATTGGCAACCTTTACTCTAACTGTTATAACAGTACTTAAGTAATACTAGTATTATTATATTGCTCTTTACTAGTAGTAAAAAGACTTTTTCTTTTTTTTGGCAAATGTCATAAACAGCAAAATGACTGTCGAATTTTGCTCCATGGTTAAATTGCAAGAGAAATATTCAATAGCTAATGAGAGTA